GCACAGGATGACGGCCACGATCCTTACGCCCACAAACTGGTTGTGTAGGATGACCCAGGAAAGGAGGTAGACAAAGCCCACGCTGGACGCCTACAGGGACATGACCATTGTCGAGTCCAGGATCCGCAGCGACAGCATGTACATGTAGTTGGTGATGACCCAGAGTCCACGGGGAAGAACAGGATCCATCCGCAGAACTTGACTGCATGTACAGCACATAATATCATTCAATAACCAAAAGTATGAATAATAATACTAATTATAATGAGGAAGCAAACATGCAGCATCGGCAATCATGAATCAAACAGTATAACATATACTATAGCTAGCCTGTCAGACACAATATGTATACAGTAGCTGTCATATACCAGAGCATGCATATGATTGGGCTTGATCAGTCCAGCAGTAGGAACAGCAGTTTTTCTTGCAGCAGTTTTTGCATACAATATATGAAGCCACGCATGTCATCTCCTTCATTTTTATATATACAGTATACATACATGCATCACATTTTATACAGTGCATCAAGGAGAGCACATTGATAATCGAGAAAGATCCATCACATTATTTTTCATGTCTCACGAATCTGATCAAGAAATAGCATGAGTGCTGCTGATTATACTGTAGCACCATCATCAAGAATTGGAAAACGATGGATAGATTATTATTGATAATGATGCAAGTGTAATTTGCATTAACAATGCTCTTATTGTCTTGCTTTCCCTCATTACTTTTGTCCGCCAATAATAATCAATGCATTAATTTATTACTGTACTAGACTTTGTTTTGAGTCCATGGTGGGTGTCTCATCGAGTATGAGACCATTCTAAAAACAAAGAAAACGGACCAACAAAAGAAAAGACAAAGAGTGGCCTCCATAGAAATCAAAACTTGGCTGACAACCTTTCTGCAAGTTTCATATTATTTGGTCAGAATGCCGCGTGTGTGGAGGAATATATGTAGACCTTGGAAGATTCAACAATTGCCTGCGACTCCAACAGCAGAATTTGATGTCAGCAGATATATTGTGGAGCACTGGATAACGATGATGACGCAACTAATATGCTGCTGCTGATGGATGATTTACAAAAAGAGATGCTATCCAATATACCTATCGTATACATAGTTTGTGAATGATCCTTTCTCATTCCTTTCCTCCCTTACACCATCCCTTCTATAATGTGTAGCACGCAAATGTCCGCCAGAATAAAACACGCCACCATCAGCAAAGCATCAGCATCAGAAAGTACATTTAAAATACAGTGGTACAATGCTTTTTTTGTACATGTATCAATGATGAGAGCAAGGGACTGACATTTATCAATCAAAAAGTGGCCGGAAACAGAGGGGGGCGGGGAATGAACACACAGTTTAGGAGACAGACAGCAAGTACAACAACAAGAAACAAAAATAAAATACGCAAGAGGGATCAAGACTCACAGGACTGAGTCCCCGAGTGTGGAACTGCTGCGCAGCCTCAAGCAACAGTCCTTCAACTGTACCCACGTTGCGGATGAGCACAACCTGGATTAGCAGGAAGAAGGGCATGAAGAGCACGGTCCACACGGTGCATACACCACGTCGTGAGGAACAGAGCATTGTAGCGCCCAACCACCATTGACAATAAGTCATCCGCCGTGAAGAGCCGTGTTCTAGTCATTGTCATCACACCACTGCTGTCCTCGTCCCCGACAATGGCCTCCTCCGCAACGTCGTCAGATGCATCCATGCCACTGCAAATCAATATCAGTGTCAGTCAATCAACTTTTCTTTTTTCTTTTTTTTTTTTGCTCCTTGAACAGTGAGGTATGATATGGCGGGGTGGACACAATAAATACAATGGTAATATGATGATCATCAGTGCTAGTGCTGGATCGTAGGATGAGGTCACGTACCAGAGCGCTGAACTAGCAGCACTGGCGGTGGAGTTGCCGGCGGCAGCGTGGCCAGCAGGGTGCCAACGATGGCAAATGCAGCCAAATTTGTTGGCGTGTGTGGCGCCGACCCAGGCAATGGCCACCAAAGAAGTGACTGTGAGCCCTACGGCCATCTGCCGAGCCCCCTTTCCGGCCAGCTTCCGCCGCAAATCCTGCTGCTGGCCACTGCCGCCCTTGGAGTTGTTGTTGTTCTCACAATTGTCAGCGCCGCATCACCACTTAGCTTACTCCTAGTGCCACTGGTGGTGGTGGTGTCCGCGCTGTTGATGGATTGCGAGTGAAACATGAATCCATGAACAATACACTGTTCTGCACTTAGCATAATGCACACATCATTCAATCACTCACCAGTTGTTGTTTTTGTTGCTATTATTACTATTATTATTGTTGTTCTTCTGCTGGTCTGCGCAGGATTCCACATCCACTGACGGTGGCACTGCGGTGGAGCAAGAAGGCAAGCAGAGCGTCATTTTATCGTATTCCACCATCAAGACCCTCTATTGGCGCCTCAGCACATTAAAATTAATAACCATATATAACACTGCACTACAGCTGTCATTGGAATCTATACAGTACTGGACTATACTGGCATTCGCGGTAGAGTATAAAGTATACTTGTTGGATGCTCCAAATTCAAATCAACTCACCAAGGATGCTGCCACTGGAAGGTGCCACTGGTCAAAGCAGATTCATTTCGGAGACGCCAGTTTTCCGGGGTGGGAATGGCAACAAACGTTTGGCAGCCCCAGTCGTGGAAGACAGCTTAGTATTGTTTGCCCCGCCAGCAGCAGACATCTCAGCAGGTATTGCTGGCACGGGTGTTGTTGTTGAGTTGGCCGTTGACGATGATGACGTCCCAGCATTACTGGTTGCTGGGCTTGTCCAGCAGCTCACATTGTCAGCAGACACAACACAGAGCAGCCGTTGGTCATGCATTGTCACGGATGCTCTGCCGTTCATGGCACTGCTTGTGCCAATCCCGTTGTCAGCATCGTCAACAGGAGATAGGTCCTCGGTGCGACTAATGACAACAGCGGGGACGTTGTCAGGAAGCTCTTTTTGCCGGCTGCGGGCCAGGACTGCTGTCATCAGAGGATGGGTCTGCGCCTTATTGCCGCCCCCTGGACGGAAACCCGCTTTCACAGGCAGGGCAGATGACTTCACACGGCCGCCGTTCTGCTGATGTGGCTCTGCTAGATACCGCAAGTATATATACAGTAATACCGTCGACGAACAGTCCTTTATCTTCTTACCCTCAATGTCTATACTGTGGGCAAACATGTAAAAGGCAGACATTACATGCAGCATACGATCAAGATGCTGCTGTGCATTCCCATAGTGATCGTCAACAGTTCAAAGGAGGATGTTGAACGCTATCAGCATTCCAAGCCCACTCTCAAAACTGACCTATAGCATATACACCTTTTCCACCAGCGAGTCCCGGCGAATGATGAGGCCCTATGGTAAAACAATGGAAAGTTTCACATCTGTATGTGTAAAAGAATGGGAATCATCGTCATACATTATAGATTGCCTTCCTATATGGCTGATCTATAGACATCCAAGCATCACTCTGGAAAATTTTAAAATATGAATCTAATTTTGTTTGCATCAAGATTATAATTTGAAGCTTCCATCCAATGAATCGCTGCTATACTGAAAATCAGAAGCAATCATGCATACAAAAAGTCAAATTAATTTCTTCGAATGCAATTGTGAATATAAACATACACTGGGTCCATATGCTCGTATATACACGTCACACGTCACAGATTCCAAAGCAAGGCCCAACAGGCACTCAGCACAGGTTGAAATTAGTAAAAGAAATGGAGTACTTTTCTTAGAAGCTCGGTTCATAATAGCGCGGAGTACTTTTCTTAAATGCGCGGGACTTTATTTAATCCATTACATCAGACCAGTAAAGGTGATGCTGGACAGCGCGATAGATTGAAGACATGGGGACGGCCATTTTGTTCCACAGACATCATTCTATGTCGCTAGTTCTGCGTAATACCATACTTTCCTCTCCTGTCAGATGTCCAACTCACTCATATTCAGTGTGAAAGATTCACCAGAAAAGAATTTGTTTTATGGCATTAAATGCCAACATCCAGGTACACTCATCACAGGCTGTGGAGGGATGATTCAGGGGGAGGGGGAAGACCCCGGAAGCAGTTCACGCATGCCCGTCAGTGGGATCACCTAGTACAGCTATACCTGATGGGTCACACCAGTAACCCCAATGCGTCACGTCGGGCGGGCACCCGCAGTGGGACCCTTACCAGCAACATCTAGGTTATTATCAGAGAGGCGCCAGCACCCGGATTATCCTCCCACCCAGGCTTTGCCAGGAAGGGGATGGCTATCACGATTGGATCAGAGGTGCGCAAATTCAGAGCAGCAAGATACGTGTAGTCCGTGACTTTCGACGCGATCACTTCCCTTGTAATTTGACCTGATGTGGTGAAGAGTGTTCTGCGATATTGTGTTGCGGGAATCTCGGGTTACGGAGTTGGAATTTGAGAATTAAATGCTCCTTTTGAAGTTACGCTGGCCGGGGACTCTTATTAAACCTTATTAGTGATTGCGTCAAAAGTCAAGGACCAAATGAATCTTGCTGCTCTGAATTTGCGCACCTCTTTTCCAATCGTGACAGCCATCCCCTTCCTGGCGAAGCCTGGGTGAGAGGATAATCTGGGTGCTGGCGCCTCTCTGATAATAACCTAGATGTTGCTGTTAAGGGTCGCGCTAGGGTTCCCACATTGTACAGTATTCATAAACTCTGAGTATTCAACCGGCGGAAGCAGAGAAAACCCAAAAATTTCCGCGAAACCAGCAAAAATGAAAGTGATGTAATTAGTTTCTCAGATTTCTATGGATCGCTCTTCTCTCTTTGTCAATTCGATTGAACGTTTGCGGAGTCTGGCCGATGTGCCTTCATAAGGTTGTTTCCTGATTCCGTGGTTGCCGATTGGACTTGTACCCGTTCTCGGGCATCTGTCCCAGCTTTTCGTGTGAAATTATGCTATTGATTTGGATGTCTAAATAGGTTGGTTGACGGTGATGCCATCCAAAAACTATTGCAAACCTCCTTGTCATCTTTATCAGCAGTCGTTTCGACGGCGGTCGTGTGATGTCCAAAATCGTGAGCCCTGCTTGGTGCAACCTCACGATCGGAAGAAATATAGCACGGCGCCAGTATTAGAGCAGTCTGAGCAACGAGAGTCAGCTGGCGGCGGAGGTCTTCATCTGATGCATGTTGACCTTGATTCCGCGCCCATGGCACTCATCAACACGACAGTGGATCCTGGAATAAATCTGAAGAATTGCCCATCTGGGAAACCATGTGGAAAGTTTTGTCGGTGTGTGTGGATTAGCCCTTTTTCTTTTACTAATTTGGAAAGATTGTTCCATTAGGATGTGGTATTCTAGCTTTAGCACAATTGACAATGATTGACTTGTTTCAGAATCTCAAAGGAAGTCCATAGCCCGAACAATCCTGCTGAAGAAATCACCAGATCGGATAAAGTGGAAGGTGGCAAGAAACTTGGCTCGGTCAACGGAGGAGGGTTCCCTGTTAGGGTTGTGTCGTCGCTGCCTGATAAGAAAGAAGGGGGTCATTCACAGAAAGGTGTTGGCTGTGAAACGAAGAATTATCACTGTCGAAAGAACAGGTCTTCCTCGAATCACCTGAGTACTTTGTGTTCCCCCCAAATCAAGTAAGAGAATTATCACTGTCGAAAGAACAGGTCTTCCTCAAATCACCTCAGTACTTTGTGTTCCCCCCAAATCAAGTAGGCATCATCAAGCGGAGTTGCGTGAGAAGAAAAAAAAAAGATTATTTAATACGTGCTTCATGGTTAGGTGTAGGAACGGGTTAATTTGAATTGACATGGCCATCAAAGGTTTGGATTATTGTTTCATCTGCCGCCGCTGGCATGTTCGTATCTGTTGCCGACCCCTGTGAATTTCGTGCGCCTCTACACATTCCCTCCGCCAAGCGTGCGGAAGCAGATGAAGCAACCTGCCGGTTTGCACACACCTCATAATAATGCACTGCCGCCGCCGCAATATCAGCAAATTCCGCCTCACCGGAGTTTCTCGCGCCCGTTCACTTTCCAACGTTCGCTGCACTTCACGCCTTCCCCAGGATCTTCCGGGACTTGTGAGCCAATGTCAGTGATGCCGCACAACATGAGAGACTTGTGGATGTTTAGTGTTCCTCCACCACTCACGGGAGCAGCGGGAATCGGCGATGTCGGGTGAGTGTGTTGCCTATGTAGAAAGAATTGGTGGCTTTGGTAGAAAATGGTGTATCCACGCAGTGCATCAGGTTTGGCGCAGTTCCGTGAGCATCAGCAGCGGTTGCCAGCATCGCGCGGATTTGTCGGTGGCGATGTTCAATTGCCCTTTCAGCCGCCTGCAAACTTGTTGCAGCAGTACGGCGATGCACTGGTGAGGAAGAAAAGAAATCAAGAGGAAGAAAGAACAATTGGAAGACCGCCGCTTCATTGTCACTCGTTTTCATCATTGTGTGGTCTTGTGTAGGTGAGTCCGTTTGATCATTTACAGAGCGTGCCATCGAGAGGCAGTGAAGCAGAGAGGTTCTCGGCTCTCTCCTCTGAAATCTGGTCATTGTATGTGAACTCACGGGAATCGCAGCAGCGCCTCATGCAATCTTTCCCATCACACGTGTACTGTATCATATACATCTTTTTTTCTTTACTGAACAGTGAAGGATCCCCGCAACGGAAACATTGATGCTAAAATGTATAAAGAATCACCCGTAGCAAAATTGCATCACTTTTGGCAAGAACAGAAGAAACCAAACAATGCTCGATTTTCAGAGACTTGGTGGGATCACATTTTGTGTGTGTGCGGAAATTCGTTATTGAAAAGGAAATGTTGATGTGCAGTGCAGCTGGGCATCCTCAAATATACTGTATTGCCGCCTTTTAAGACTCATGCCATACAGGGATTGTTATTTTCCTATGGAAATTAAAAATAGGCATTTGAGCCTATGACACAGAAAAGATTTTATCCATTTGAAAATCTGATGAAGTTCGGTTCAAGCTTCGGATTTCATCTTGTCCCAGTCTTTTGATTCAAAAACCAAAACAGCAAAAATTTTTTTAGACATGCAGGCGACACCTATGCAACAACAAGAAAATTGACAAGTCGTGGATTCCCGGCATATATTACAAAAAAGAAAACATTTTATTTCATATTACTGTACTGTATCTCCGAATCCCAACTTGAATGCCTCAAAAGTATTGTCATGACTTAAGAAAAAAGAAAACTTAGCTGAAAAGTGCTGTATATATGCATGCAAATCTGATAAACGGGCTTTAATTGTTCAGCGAAAGGTTTTTGTTTCTCTCGCGCGTCATATTTACCACCACACTAACACATCCGCGCAATGAACTCGCGATGTACAGTACAGTACTGTAATAAAACTAAAAAAAAAATTAAATGGGTGCTGAACACTTTAATCCAGTGGAAGTTGCCCGAGATTTGACACGTTCACGGTGCAGAAAAAAAAAACTTCAAAGAGCAACAGAGAGGGTATTGTGAACAACAAGCAAGACATCATTTCTGGGAAGACTTGGAATATACAGTATTACTGTACTAATGTCTATGCATCAATAATGAGAGCGTCAAAAGCCAAATATTCAAAAAAGGAGTGTGGGGTCTTAGTTTTCCAAAGAATCTGTCTTCATTCCATTTTTATGATTTAAATAAATCTGAAGTACTGGAAAATTGGGTTTAAAACAGAGCACAGTGTAAAATTTCTGCCAAATTTGGCGCTGTGTTAGAGAAAAAGTTGAAAAATATCCTCTTCATCATCTCTGATGAGCGCAGATGTTCACCGGTGCGTTGTTTAATTTTATTTGCAGAAGAAAATTTCGCGCCGGTTAGTTTCCACTTGGACAAAAACGCTTCCAGTTCCTATTTGTATTAATCCGGGAAAAAAGGAGCATTCATGCAGGATGCAGCCGTGACATTTTCAGGTAGAGAATGCAACGGATTTTTCTAATACAGTACAAGCAGTAATCCGTGCTCAGACCAGGTATGGAGCAACATAATAACCCGCCTTGAAACAGCGCACTCACCCTCTTTCCTTCCGCCAGCAATAACAGGAGTGTCAATTTTATTTTAAATTTTCTTTCCAACTCGACTTTTCGAAAAAGAAAACTGCACGTCGACATGAAGCTTACGCAATTCCTAGGAAAACAAGAAAAGTCGACGCGGGATCGCTTCTTTCTCGGCATGAGCCGATTTTCAAAAGAAAAATGAAGAAGGAGGAGTTGCACCCTCCTTGTCGTCAGTGTCTGTCGACGTCGGTTTTCGGAGTGAACTAAATGTTTTCCCCTTAAGCTGTTCGAGTTCGTCACTGCAGTCAGACAGAGTTCCGCTAGCAGTCGGTGGACTTGTTAGTATTTCATTGATGGCGTTGGGAGACGGCGTGGAAGTGAATAGACCTCTACCCGAGTAGGGTGGAAGTGAGCGGCGGTGAAATGAAAACTGTACCATATCGTCCAGGCACCGACTCCCGTAGCACTCGCCGAATATTTTCTCCCTGCTCCAGAATCAGTTGTCGCACCACTTCTTTCGGAGTTGACTTTTCTGCAATGTCATGTGAAATCTTCCGTGGGTCAAGAATTTGTAGGGATTCCGTGAGTTTTTTTATGAAAGTACGGCGTTAATTTCCATTTCTGGATGATTGAATTTCGTAATCTCATCTGAAATGAATGGTTCTGCCGATGCCAAGATGTTCAAGAACTGATGTCAGTGTGCTCTGTGATTGGTCACCTCGCGATTATCGAAAATCCCGGCGGCCAGAAAATCTCGCGAGGCCTAGAAATATTGCGGGAACGAAAATCCCACTGCCTGAATTCATGCATAAGAAAAAGTCCCAATTATTAACTAAAGATGGGCACTGGTGTATATAGATGAATTCGAAATTACCGTAACGCACGAATATGAATGCAGTTCTGAAGGCAAACTTCATTCACGTAGTTCGCTTCTATGTTGGAATCCTCTATATCAGTCTAAAGTAAAATTTGATGAAGTTTGGACGGTTAGAATGTAAGAGCCCAGATTGGTGTAGTTCTGCAGTACTTCTATGAGCATTTAGTGATTATAAGAAAGAATTAATCTCTTCACTCTGGGGGTGGCCCCGCGAGATTTTTGGGTCTATGGGATTTTCTCGTGCACCCACTATTGGTGATGGACATAGTTTTTGCGTCGACTTATTCAATGTGTCGCTCATTACAACCTTTTTCCTGGAATTCCTTTACGTTGTCGTTTTCGTTTATTTGGCTATTTATTATTGTACGTCCATTATAGTGAATGGTCTTTATTTTTCGTGAAGCAGATCATGAAAGGCGTGATGCTTGAAAAAGGAATGTTGGAATGTGAGTTGCATGGCGGAGGTCGTCGGGGTGCGTGACGAAGTTCTTGCCCAGAATTGGCTTTGACTGAGTGCCGTAGACCGATCTTGTATTCCAGCTTCTGGTGACTACACGTTCACAGTTTTCCTGGCTTTTGAAGTTAACCATGAAGCGGACTTCCGGAGTAATAGCGTGAGTATTACACGTTCATGTCGCAAGGTTAAGTGCCCTCAGGGGCTCTTCATGAAAGAGATGAAGGCTCAATTTGCTTTCTAGGGTTTGTGATGAAAATGTTGTTATTGTTGGAGATTAATCTTTAAAACTATTTAGAACATACGTAGCGTTTGCTCTTCCTATGCCGGTGGTGATCTCTGTACAAGCGCCTTGCTTGGTTTTGGTTCAATCGTGCGCATTGGGATAGTTTTGACTTGGCTTGAACTAGTGTATGTGGATGGCTATGTTGCAGTTCATGGGTTTTTGTGATGGTCAACAACGGCGCAGCTTCTGCGTCATTTCCTTCCGCATTTCACCATACTACAGCTTTAAAGAAGTGCCAGTAGTGGGATGCCTCATTCATACAGTAAGAAAACGAGTGATCGTTAGGCATGGTTCATTTTCCACAGGTTTATTTAGCAGAGTTTCACAGAACGAAGGAACAGTTTCCACACACAGAGTAACAGTAATTTCAGCGGGAGATACAGAGTAGCAGACTGGTTGGTCTTCTGTGGTCTTCGGCCCTTTTTGTATGCCTCCCTTGTTGTCGTCATTTCTTCCTTGGGCAGCATGGCCGGAACCTTGTTTCCTGGGTGTTTGGTGTCTTATTGGTTTCTGTGTTCCCCAAGGCTGTTGTTTTTATGGGTGTCCCATTCGTTGATAGTAATGATAGCTATCTGTGTTCACCAAGGTTGTTGCCTAGGCTGTGGCTGTTGCCAGGGCCTTTGTTACTGCTCCCAGTTCCGGCTTGGTGTTTTTCCTTTTGTGGAAGGTTTTGCGGACCTTACTACAGTATACTGGATGAATCAACAAACGCAGCTTTGACAATCTCAGAAAATGAGAGTGGAGATGCAAAACCAAACCGGTGCTGCATTGGATGCTCACTTAATGTTTGAAACGTCCAAGCGTGTTTGTTGTGTTTGATGTTGAGGTTTCTGCCTCGGTAATCAAATCTTCTTGAACTGAGAGTTACCATGCCCTTGTGAAACTGCCTCCCTGCGTATGTCGATGGTCCCAGTCTCAGTTGCTCTGAGAACTTTGCCGACGAGTGCAACGATCCAGGACAGGTCACTGTTGATTGTGTGGGTTGAAGCCGAGCTACTCTCGCTCCTTCGATTTGGGTTGACGAGGAGTTCGTGAATGGTTATGAGCGAGGTCTTGCTGTTGTCGAATAATGTGATACTGATTTGCTAGAAGAGACCAAAATTGACGAGGTGAACAGGTGCTAGGAAATTATCTTACGTATGTTGAATGGGTTGTCGTAGCCTTGAATGCCTGACATGTGTTCGGAAGGGAATTTTTTTGCTTTTCGTAATTCTCTGGAACAACGCTCAGTATGGGAGTTTGGCGCGTTATGGGTCTATGCCGGAGGTGAACCGCCCGAGTCGCTGTTCTCTTCTCTGGGCATTGTCCAAGAAGAGGATTATCCATTAAAATGAAAATAAATTTAGTCCAGCATTACACCCCTCTGGCCCGGGGTAGGAATGGCGTGAATTTCATGGAATTCAATCTGTCTGGAATTCACACCACCGCCACTACTTCTGTTCATCCTGATCATTTTCGTGGAGTTCTGAGCCAAAATTGGATGCCCACAAAATATTTTTGTTGCGTAATTCTGTGCCCCTCGCCTACCCAGGTGTGGTGTCACTTGTATAAATACTGAACTAGATGAAATATTAGAGGAAGGCAGCCTCAGGACAATTTTATGGCAAAAACATGTACCGTGTAAATGTTGGCTTTAAATGCTCTTGACGGCATTAACCCTTTGCAGTAGGTACTCACTCATTCCTTCAGTCTCTATGACTGACAGAAATATTTTATGAGAAAGAATCTCTTGCTTATTTTGAATACTGTAATTGGTTTGTTTGTGATTGCTTTATGCCTGCATCAGTTAAGTTGTACAGTAATACTGTATTTGTGATCGCTGAGAGCATGCAAGATGGAGAAAAATGTAACTTGAGATGGGGGTGTGCATTAGTACATACGAGTGGCTTCAGACATGACATTCCCAAGATTCCGGTGAGGGTTCAGAAAACCCAGGGAATCATCCGTCCTTCACGCAAGTAATCCTCGGGCTCGAGAATCCCACCCAGGGTCCTTCAGGATGATCATGTAGTGTAATCCTTCTTGAAAATAAAAAAAATGGAGACGTGCGTGCACTCCGTGTTACCTACCAGTTCCTGACTGGGTTTTGAAGTGCATCAAAGAGTAGGAGAGGTACTGTACAGTACACATGAAGTACGAATCTTTCTTGCCCGTTGGTCGTACAGTAGATGGTTCCAATGAGGATGACGGTAGCCGTATTTGTGCCAAGAATGATGAAATGTATCCATGGAGCGAGGAAGGTGCGAAGAGCCGGTGTCGGTATAGCGACATTCAGATGGCGTGCAGGGGGACGTGCCATGATTGATCGACAATTTTGGTGTGGTGAAGGGAGGAGTTGGGTGAGGGTTGCTCAACCTCATGCGGGTCGGGTTCATCAAGTCCTTCTTTCCTTGCTCGGGCGTGTCCGCAGTTCTCCCGGTGTCACCCTGCGTCATTCATACATGATACGGTCGTGGCTGGTTTTCCCAAAACGTGAGTCCACAGCGTCACGCCGATGTTCTCTCCAGCGACAAACGGCGGGTTTTCATTTCAGTCTCTATTGGAGCTCAAATTGAATGAATCGTTGGAAGTGAATTGAAACCGAGTGAGGTTCGCACTGATACTGCAAATTAATCAAAGCCTGCGTTTTGTCTGTGTAACGAATCAGACATTTCCAAATGAGTCCTCAATCATACATTCCAGCAATCTTGATTCCAGTGCAGTTTAAATCTCTACCGTGTTTAGTAAAGTACAGTACTGTACTGATTAGTCCTGTACAAATGACAGGAATGTGTCAAAACATTCAATAATACCTTTGAAGAGGAGAATCTCTGAAAGGTCGTACTGTACTGTAAAATTTATCCTGTGGCCGGGAAGAACATCAAAAGTCGGTAGGAAAACGAGAAAACTGGCGAGCAATGCCTGTAGATCTGGATGAAGTGAAACCATAAACAGTGCTGTATGCGCATGCGTTTACTGTGCTATAGACAGTATAGTTCTTCCGCGCATCGTATCCGCTACAATACTGTATTGCTTGTTAACCCGGGCCTTTCCGATCAGGCGTGTGAAGTCTCATGAAGGAACGAGCGATCAGCGTTTGAATGCCGGATGAGAAGATCCCTGGGCCTGAAAGCGACCGCGACCCTTCATCCTGAATCAACAGTTGAGTCACTATAAACTGCAGTATAGCCATAAAATAGAAGGAGAAGAAAGTCAATGCATGAGTCTGCTGCCCATGTCAACATCAAGCTCAAGGTTTCCTCTTTTTCTCTCTCATTTTAATCACGGCATTTATTTATATTTGCTTCCTACTTGTACTCCTTGGATGGAATCCCGACCCAAGCATTCAATTGTGATGCGTACAGTACAGTACAGTATTTTGATCGGCAGTCCCCATCTCCTTACTCGTCGTCTTGGTGAACATCCTCGTAGGAATGCCCACTTATCCCTTGTTAGAAGCAAAAACCATTGCATTCAATTGGTAATGCTGAGTTCAATAGTCCCTGCTTTTGCCCATCAAGGATCAGCTGGGCGGAATATTCGTCCAAGTCGATCTCCCAAGCGCCTGCGAATGAGTTCCTTTACCATATGGAGGGAGTCCCGTCACTCCCGTGCACTTTGGAACAGAGGGAAGCATTGCTGGGAAATCACAACCCTTCGCCTTCCCTCCTACACCGGTGAAGGAGTGTGCCGTGCACTGCTTCTCTTCCCTCCCTCCCTCCCCTTCTTTCTCTCTCAGGCGTTGTTTCTTGGTCTCATTTTTATTTTTTGCTGGAGCAGTGACGATTTTTTTACTGTGGTGGCGTATGTTGGTTTTATGGCTAAGGCGTGGACAAAAGGGAAATTTCTCTCTCCTCTCCCTACCCCTGTCGGAGGGGTGTTATGTAAATGCGGGATGTGAGTGCAAGCAAAGGATTCCCTCGAAGTTAATGGAAGGGCCCTGCGTTGGACACGTTATAAAAGCTTGTTTTATTCTTCTCTGCGATACGGTAGTCTCTCTATGGTGCAGTAGGAGTGTAAGATGCATGCGCCATGACTGGATGACAGTACAGTATTAGTCCAATGAGAACGATCCACAGAAGAGGAAAAAACGGGAGCGACAAGCGCCGCAGTAGCGTGCCTTCGCAACTCACAGGCCCACGAAGTAAACAGTAATGGGATGAGTCACAACGTTAGGTAGATTGGAAAACCTTAAAGGTCTAGACCCACGGAATCTGCAGGATTATTATTCTATTTTTTGGATGTCTGCGTGAAGCACTTACTCGTACGTAAACAGGGACACAATCCTTGACTTTTGCGCCAGATGATGTACAGTACGCTGTAGTAGGCATGATCATGTCTCCCCGTTTAACGATATCCGCACCTTTTTTGTGTTGTGCTGAACCCCTACCTTGTTTGATATTTTTTGTTTTGCAATGAACTGTTTTGCAATTCTGCCTCCAGCCTTGACTAACCTCAACATGAATGACTAACCTCAACAAAGTACTGTACAGTACATGTAGCGAAAAACGTTCTGTACATGTACAGTAGTACCCAATGATTTGTTGTGACCTCAATTGTCGAAGGTCTTTCTGCGAACAAGTTGGTTTATTGGGAGGAAAAAGGTTGACGGCAATTGTGCATGATGGCATTCGTCGGTCAGTCTCGCGTGGGATAGCAAGTGAGGACATTGAATCTTTCCTCTGGTCTGTGAAGCACGAGCATGATGGAGGAGGAGGAGACTGATCATCGTGAGTGGGAGAATCCGCATTTCCCTCCCTCGCTCTCTTTGTCCCCAATCGTTGATCCTCCTCCTCCTCGTGTGCCTGCCTTATCATCCGGACCGGCCTTAGGAAGCCAGCAGTGGGAATACTACCGAGGACATGTACATTCTAGTGTGCGGTAACAATTTTTGAGAGATGGACGTATAGTGGTAAGACGAGTGCTATCTGTGTTAGGTTCCGTCGTGTGATTTCTCAACCTCCGTCCAAACCGATCTGCGAAGTGGGAGTAATGAGTGTTGGATGCCTTGCCTTCGGAGTGGATGGGTGCGTCAATTCAGTCTCGTTTTGTTGACGTTAATAGAATAGGTTCTGATGCAGTTTCTTGAGGGATGACTACTGAGAACCATCTACACAAGCAGCAGTGCGCTTGTTGGAATGCAATTCACTTTGATGGTTTCTGTTTGAGTAGTGCGGTACCTTGAA